GACAACAGCAGTGGTGCCCCCTCCTCCCCCAGCACAATGACTTTTTTTCAAGGACTCCAGCTAGGGTAGGCGGTGTAAGTGGCCCAGCCTACAGGACCCGAGGATCAGCCTGGAGCTCCCTGTCCTCCTCCTCCTCCCCCATATGATCACTCTGTCCTATGCCCAGCTCCCTACCCTGCATCTGGTCCAGGGTGTCTGAGGACTGGACCCTTTCTTCTGTCCCCCTCAGTGTCAACAGCTTCCAGCTCCCCAAGGACCCCTCCCAGCCCTGCATCCTCATTGGGCCTGGCACAGGCATTGCACCCTTCCGCAGTTTCTGGCAGCAGCGGCTTCACAATCTCAAACACACAGGTACAAAGGAGGGGAGACACTGATTGCCGTGGCTTGGTCCATACACATGGAAATATCACAGCGCACTCCGCAAATATGTGCAGTGGTGATGTCTTGAAAGGAAAAAATAAAAAAAAACCAACAATCAACAAAAAAAGCTATGTGTTGGCATAGGAATAGTATTGAACGAAAGATCTTGGTAACTGTCTGCATTGCCTGCTGGTTTGCATCCCTCACACAGGAAAACAAACAAACAAACAAACAAACAAACAAACAAACAAACAAAAAACCCCAGATAAGGTAGGGCAAAGGGGGAGAAAGCAAGGCTTCAGAGAGGCTTGGAGAGCTTCAGATGGGCTGGGCATTTCCTCTCTTGAAGTAATAACTGGTAATGAACTGATGGAGTCCTGTGTCTGTATTTTAGTAATGTGACTATGGTAAAGGGATCTGAATGCCCTGAGTCTCAACCTTTTAGTTTCCTTATCTGTGAAATGGGGAGAACAGCAGATCTGACGCATGCTTGCACAGATGAAATGAGAATTAATGTTGGGGGCTGGAGATTTAGCTCAGCGACATAAGCACCTGCCTTGCAAGCAGGCAGTCGTGAGTTCGATCCTCGGTACCGATAAAAATGAGAATTAATGTTGGTCCCCGCTTTGCACCACGCGCGCCCTCCGCTGGCCATTTTGGTAACTGCAGCCTGGTAATTGCAGGGCTCCAGGGTGGCCGAATGACGCTCCTGTTTGGATGTCGCCACCCGGAGGAAGATCACATCTATAAGGAAGAGATGCAGGAGATGGTCCAGAAGGGGGTGCTGCATGAAGTGCACACAGCCTACTCACGGCTGCCTGGAAAGCCCAAGGTAATGCTGCCAGGTCGCACGTGGAATATGAGCATGCGCCGTGGAGGTTTCTCCCTCCATCTCCTTGATTCTAAGATGGGCTCTAAGTTATCCTCAGAGGGCTAGAACCAAGGGGATGGAACTCACAACCTCACACTTGCCAGGCAGGTACTTAAGCCACTGAACTAAAATCCCTAGCCCTTTTGGGGACAGAGTTTTTTTGGGTCCTCATGAACGTGTCCCTGAAGGTGCCTTTCCAGCCCCATACTGAGGCCACTGAACATCTTATTTAGAGTAAGAGCAGGCTTCTGGATTGTCTTGGGAATGTTCTGTGTAACGGGAACCTGGGAACCCATCCCCTTGCACTGAATCATGACTGGGATCTATGGACCCTGCACTGGAAGGTCCCTTTTCTGGGGTACATGGGCAGGTGTTGGTGCTCTCGGGGTGGGAACTGGTTTGAGGGATGCCTCTTTGAAGTATGAATTCAGAGAAAATCCGGGCACCCCCTGGCCTGGGTAAAGGCCAGTAGTCGCATTGTTCGTGAACCAAGGTCCTGTCTGGGAGGCTGCTCACTCTGTGGCCCTTGGCGCCCCCTCCTCACATTCCCATCATTACCATCCCATCCCATCTCACTCTCCCATGGCTGTGAGCTTCATTCCCAGCAGCCAAGGCCTGGAGCCACCATCTCCTTTGATTTCAGGCGTATGTCCAAGACATCCTGCGGCAGCAGCTGGCCGGGGAGGTGCTCCGTGTGCTCCACGAGGAGCCGGGCCACCTCTACGTCTGTGGGAATGTGCTCATGGCCCAGGACGTGGCCTGCACGTTGAAGCAGCTGCTAGCTGCCAAGCTGAACTTGAACGAGGAGCAGGTTGAGGATTACTTCTTCCAGCTCAAGGTATGGTAGCCCATGTGTGGGTCAGGGGTGCATATCAGGGCACAGGCCACAGAGCCAGGACCAGGGGGTCAGCACCAGGAGAGTCCTGGAATGCTTCTGGACGCTCAAGAATCTGGGGTGGCTGGATGGGCTGATGACCAGCTGGCTTCGAGAAATCAAATCACCTCAGGAGAAAGATGCCCACTTCATGGATGGCAACAGTTGTAGCATCTGTCGAGGGCCTCGGCTGGGCCAGGTGCTGGCCAATGATTTCCATGTGGCATTTCTTTCTGCCTTCTGAGGGGTCTATGAGGAAGGCACCATTGCCGGCCCCAAGTGTTCAGGAGAGAGGAGCCCTGGAGCCCACAGTAGTGAGTGCAAGAGCCTTGTACTCTGTCCTCTGATTCCAAGGTCTATGCTTGTCTCTTCTGCACTCTCCCTGTGACTCAATCTTATGTTCAGTGTAGCTATTGAATCCTGCCCTATGCTGTGTGGAGGGCATGGGGCATTAAACTGAGCAGGCAAAAATTCCTGTCTGGTTGGAGCTTATGTTTTAGAGGGATTGACAAATAAAACATGTAAAATATGTAGTGCTTCAGAGAAGGATTGAGTAGGGAAGGAGAGCTAAGGGGTAGTGTTTTAATAAGGCAGCCAGGGAAGTTGTCACTGGAAGGTGACATCTGAAAAAATACCTGAAAGAGATGAGGAGAAGGCTCTTTGCTGGTTGTTCTGGGCTGTTCTGTAGGGAGCAGCATGTACAAAGGCCTGGAGGTAGGTGTTAGTCTGGCATGAATAGAGAATAGCAAGGAGATCCCAGGCATTTTCCAAAATGTGTTCAGGATATTCATAGATATTTGGCCTCAAAAACGTTCTAAGGTCAGAGAGTTTGGAAAATGCTCAGTTAAAAGCAACACACTGCTTTACTAGAAGACTTCTCAGGGTCTTTAACACAGTCCTGTGTATTGTGACTTCATTCTGGAAGCCATGTAGAGGAGAAGGACACTTGAATTGCAGAGGCTATGGTGGCAGATTGTAAATTCCAGGCCATCCTGGGCAACAAAAAAGACCCCGTCTTGAAATGAAGAATTAAAAGGGCTGAGAATCCATTTCAGTGTAAGGCACTGGGTTCGATCACAGGACTCACAGGGTTGGTCTTGCAACCAACTCGGGCACAATCTCAGCATGACTGTGGGGTACGCAGAGGGCTCAGGAAGTCTCTGTAATGCAGCAGCTGCAGCAGCCCCAGAGCCTTGTCCCAGCCTGAATCTGCTGACTGCACAGTTGACCCTTGACCTCTTTTTCTCCTTACAGAGCCAGAAGCGCTATCACGAAGATATCTTTGGTGCTGTCTTTCCCCATGGGGTGAAGAAGGACCGGGCAGAGCGGCCCCCCGGCGACAACAAGCTCTGAGGACCCCTAGAGACTTTCAGAGTCACCTCGTGCCTGAAGCCTACCTTTCCAGGTCCCTTGGGGATGAATTTGCAAGGTCCGGCCTGGCCAATGGGTCTTGGAAGATGAAACCTTCTTCTGGTGGCAGCACTTGAAGTGACCACCGGGGGGCGCTAAGCGACACGCTTTGTATTTAGCCGCCATGTGTACAGTATTTATGCCTCTGTATTTAAAAAACTCTGCTTCCAAGGGCCACTTGAGCCTTCCTTGTATGATGTCTTGAAGGAAATATTTATATGAAACTAATTTTATTTTAACCACCTCAAATGTGTGTGCATGGCTGTTTTGCAGGGAGAATACCTCCAATGTGTAGAGAATGGTTGGGAATGTCCCTCTAGGACACAGGTTCCCCATGAAGGATCATGCCAGAGTGGCTGAGTTCTTCTCTGGCCTGACTCCGAGCAAAGGAAGTTTTGTGCATCTCTAAAGACCGTGAGGCAGGGGTTGGGGGGCAGAGGAGGGGCAGGAGCTGCTCCTCACACTGGCTGCCCCTTGTGCAGGGTGTGGCCAGGGTTAGGCTGCTCCTGGTGCCAGCTCTCTCGTGAAGGTCTTGCTATCCACCTGGTCATACAAAGAATGCTCTCTGCTGCTGTGTTTCCTTTGGCTGGCAGTATTTGGCACCTGGAAAGAGTAGGCCTGGCCTCCTGTAGGAGGAGGAGGAGGTCAGGCCAGGGCACTTGGCACCATCCCTGTCTGCCTGATCCTGGGGCTCTTCTGCAGGGCTGCTGCGAGACAGAGCTGTCTCTCCTGCTCAGAACAGCTGAAGAGACTCAGATGGGGGCAGTGGCTGTTTGACCCAGATCCGCCCCAGCTTTGCCCCCCTCCCCCTTTCCGGGGCTCTCTCCCTGCTTCCTCCTTTCACTTCTGGCAGCAGCGACTCAGATGAGAGCACAAGGGAGAGGGCTTGCCAACTTCCGGTCATTCCCAAAAGAGCTCTGAACCCTGACCACCAGAAGCAAGGAGTTTGAGCAGCGTAGGCAAGACTGCAAACAGCAGACCAGGGCCACCCACGCACGCACACACGCACTCTCTCATTGCGTTTGAGGTGGAGCCTGACATTCTGCTATGCTCATCAGTTCCCTGGTGACCCTGCTGCCCAATGAGGACCACACTCCGAGACCCACCCTGGCTTCCGAGGGACCAAGCTCTTGCTAGAAATAGAAGGTGGACACCTAGCTCTGGGCTCTCTGGTGCTGGCAGATCCTTGGTCCCCAGGCACTTAGCTCTTGCACACCCAACTCCTCAAGCCAGGCACCCCACCTGCCTCCCCTCCCACGAGGGCACAAGGTCATCGGCTTCCTGGCTCTGTCATGACCCCACAGATTGTCCCGGTTTCTCCTGTCTCAGCAGGGTGAAGGTATTTCCTAGATTGCCCCAGCCACCAAGGTACTTATTAGAGACCCCTGTTTGGGAAGTCTGAGCCCCAGCTTCCTTCCCCAGTGCCCTCATGGGCTTTGTGGGGGATCTGCAGGGAACAGGTGTGGATATCAGGAACTCCAGCCCTAAGGGAACCAGTACCCTTTAGCAGGGACCTTTAATTCCAGAGACTTCTAAATGTCATGGACACTAATAAGGCAGCCATGCCACGAGTGCGGGCCAACAGTATTTCTCTTCTTAACTATTTTAAGGGTGGCAGGAAAGAGAAGATCCCCCTGCTGAGAAAGTTCTGCTCAGTTTGGTGGAAGCCCACAGTATGTCCCCAAAGTAGCCGCCCCACAGCAGGTAGAGTTACAGCAGGGTGCATAACCGGGGACACAAGATAAAGGACAGAGGAAGGGAAGTATAGTGGAAGTCACCTTGTCCCTGCAGGGACTTGTGTCCTCAGGGACTACACAGAGAATGGGAAAGTGGCTGAGAGCTGGGTCAGGAGTTCAGAAGGCTCAGGACCCCTCTTTTCTGCTGGGAAGTGTAGACCCGGTGGTTCTCCTGCAGGGCACGCCTGGGGTGCCCTCTGCTGGGATGGTGGGGCTCAGGAAGTTGGGGCCTGAAGGAAGTGGAGGAGGAGGAGGAGACACAGACGGTAGCACACTCAGCCCTCTGTCAGCCGGTGTGGCTCGCCTAGGTCTGCACATAGGTCAGCTGGATGTCACCAGCCACTTCCAGGTTATTGATGGCTCTCAGGTCCTTCAGGCGGTGGGCGTATTCCAGCAGGTGTTGGCCGTCCAAGGTCACCCTGTAGTGGTGGCCTTCGCATATGATTGCCACCTGTGCAGAAAGGCCTTGCCATTTGCTCTCTTAGTACAAAATCCTCAGCCCTCACAGCAGGCTCAGGGCCCCTCCTTCCCTACCTCCCTCTTCTCCCCCAACCAGCCCCTCACCCACACTGAAAGACCTGCTGCTCCCTAAACACGCCCGGGCAGTTCCCTGCCCACAGTGCTGCTCCCAGCCTGCATCTGTCCCTTATGTAACTCCCAGGTCCTCAGGCTTCCTCTGCAAGCCTTCCCTGCCCTCACCTTCACCTGACCCCTCCCAGAGACCAACTGCCTCCCCAGACCACCAGGGGCAGCAGTGCTGGCCCATGGCATCTGTGTCTGCCCTGTCCACGCCTGGATTCTGCAGCAGCAGCAGCAGCAGCAGCCGCCTCCTGATTCGTACTTTGCAGCCCAGGACCCTCTCCAGGGGGCAGTCAGGGAACAAAGGGCAGTGGTCCCACTCCCATCACACTCCGGCTCACTCTGCCCAGAGACTACCTCGGCCTATTCCCGCAACTCTGAGATCACGGGATGCTTAGCTTCGTTTGTGGACGAAGAAACAGACACCAAGAGTAGTTGAGTCACATCCTCAGGGTCACAAAGCTACCTATAAATCAAAGATTCTGCTTCCCAACCTCCAGCCCAGTGGCTTCGCACTGCAGTGAAATCCAAGCTCCTTTCACTGCCTGCAGAGCAGTCATTTCCTGCGGATGCCCAGGCTGACAGTCTCCATGGCTGGGGGACCTAGGCATCACTGCTGATGTTCCTCTTTCTTCCTTTCCCTTCCTCCTGCCCTCTCTTTTCCTTTTCCTCCTCCCCTTCCCTCTCCTCCCCTCTGCTCCCCTTCTTTCTCCTCCCTTCTCTTTCTCCTTCCCCTTTTCTCCCCTCTCCTTCCCTCTCCTCTTATCCCCAAACTCCTTCCATTTTTTAATATTCCACTTTAGGGCAGCATTTTATTAAGTTGCTAAATTGCCTAGGCTGGGTTCAAATGTGTCATCCTCCTGATTCAGCTTCCCAGAGTTCTAGAATTACCAGCATGTGCCACAGCATCAAGCTTCACTTATGTTCTGTCAGTCCTATGGGGATCTAATGTGCAGTTATGGTGGAGAAGACCTGCTTGTGTGCAGGTCAGGCTGCAGCCCCACCTCACACCTCTCACCCACATTCTGCACCTTGCAGTGCAGCTCTGCACAGGCCGCTCCCTCCTCTGCGCATCTGCCCTCAAGTGGGAGGTCCTCCACCTGCAGCACTGTTTGCCTTTTGCTCAGCACCTGTTCTTATCTGTGCCACACCTTGATCTCCCTGCTCCTCCCCACTTAGACTGCTCTCTCTGCTTCCTAGCTGCATCCCTGCACACGGGGAATGTTTTGGTTTGTGTCTGAATGTGCCCTCAAAGCCTCATGTGGTTATGGGGAGGGTAGTTTTTTGGAGGTGGCTGAATCTAGCATTTGTGATTGGTTTATTTTCTAGTGCTGGGATTGGGGACATCAGTGCCACATCAGCCCCCAGGTGGGTAGCCTGCATATGATGTAAGGGAGGAAGAGAGGCTGGCTCCTCCCCTTTTGCTCTTGTTACTTTTGGTATTTTTCATTGCCAGGAATGGTTGCATCTCTCCAACACCATCTTACCTTGGAGTCAGCTGGTGGGCTGAAACTTCTATAAACTGTGAGCGAAATAAACCTTTCCTCCTTTAACTTTGGGTATTGGGTAATTTGTCCCAGCAAGAAGCAAAAAGTAACTAGGACAGGGCACTTCCTGTACCACATAGGCCTAATTGAAGAGCTGATAAATGACTGCTGGGTGAACAAGCAAATACATGACGGGCACCTCATTCTTGGGTATGATGTGGCAGACATGGACTAAGTGATCCCTGGCAAATAACTTATCCTGTGATTTTTTTTTTTGCTCATCTATAGAATGCAGATGCTAACACTCATCTATAGAATGCAGATGGTGGGGATAGTAATCATAAAATGTTATAGTTTGTTGCACATTCTCCATTCTTTGGGGCTAAGCTCTCCTATAACAGGCCCTACCCTATTCAAGGTACCCCCAGAATTCCTCACCCCTTCTATGCTTGCTCCCAGTGAGCTCCACAAGCTCTGGGCTGCAGCATCTTACCAAGAAGCTCTGGCCTTGTCTGAAGGGCATTTGGAAGGGCAGGCTTCGCTCCTCTGACCCCCAGGTGCCTTTGATCTGAGTGTTTCGGACCACAGTGTTTTCATCAAAACGAGGGTTCAGGTGGAAGGCAATGTCACTCCCACAGCGCAAGTTGATGTGAAACCTGGGGTGAGAACATCAAATAGATTCTCTCTGTCTCGGGAATCCAGCCTCGGCCTCTCCTCCCATTTCCAGTCTGCCTGGAGCCAGGGCGTGGCTCTCTCCTCCCTGAGAGCCCTGGAGACCCTGTCTTACCTCCTAGCATTGGGCAGGACAACGCCTGACACAGTGATGACCTTGAATGGGTGCAGCCCACCTGGGATGGAGGTGAAGTAAGGAATCGGCTGTTGGGAGGATGGGGACAGGTTAGCCAGTGAGAGCACCACTGCAGTGGCAAAGTTCCGTAACAATTGTTATGGATTTGGACATCAGGCAAATCTGAAACCATTCCTAAGAGTAGTATGACTTCCAGAAGTTTGGTTAAACACCAAAGGAAAACCTCCCAGTGTTCCCAAAGCAGGTGGTTTCACTCTCATGGAAGGAACTTGGGCCAGACACTAAAGCATTCTGGGGTGACAAGTGAAGTCCGTATGACTGGTTCACGCTTGAGGGACCATTTTCAGGTTGAAAGCTCCTTTCAACGCTCTCCTAATTTACCTGAATATTTTTAGATTTCAGCCGACAAAGGACTCTTTTTAATCATGCAAGTCAGAAGATCAGCCCAGCTGTCATTTACCTCCTCTGTCATAGAAAATGAGATCTCTGGTCATCACCACACACCACTTACATAATTTTGGCTGGAGTACATTGCAGGTGGTATTCCATAATTCTGAGGAGAAAGACCACAAAATTAAAACTGGGGACATATGTGGACATGTGCACACCTGGGTACCCTCACATTCTGGAGGGAACGCTCCAGTCTGAGGCTAAGATTGAGGGGCCCAGCCCTGGGGTTACATAGCTCCCCAGGGTTGTGCCATCGGCCTTCCCGGATCTTCCTGCATTCTCAGATCCCATCACCTGCCTCTCAGCCCCTTCAGGCAGTCCCTGCTCACTGCAACCTCCCCATATGCACTGAGTGACGCCACAGGGGCCCATCCTCAGGATGTGGGGCTGGAATCCCCATATCCGGAAGCTGAGGCCACTGTGCTCCCCTCATGGCAACAGGACCATTTTCTGGGCTGCTCCGTAGGGGACTTGCCTCTTTGACGACTGTTCTAGAATCTCTGCTGTCCCAAGGAGAGCTCTAGCTGCACCTCTCCTGAGTAGAATCGCTAAGCCACTTTCTTCCAACTATGGGGTTCGAGGGAATTCTTTTCATGTTGAAGAAGGAAGACACGGGCTTGTGAGGGGAGCAGAATTTTCAAACGTACAGAAAACACCTGTCCTGGGGCACCCTATGTGGTGGGTTTAGTCTGGAAGTAGTTTTACAACTTCTCAACCAGCGCGAAGACCACCACCTGTCACCAGAGGGCGCCATACGCACGTACGTCTAGACAATCTTGAATTACAATCACTGGCCAGGCAATTTGCTTGCCTGAGCCTGACAAGTTCCCAGTAGGATTGGGATAGGCAGAGGTGTTTTGGGTGGTGGGTGAGGCAGGGAAAGGCTAGGGTTCTAGGGAAGAAAGAGGGCAGTATCTGTGGCCTCAAGTCCATTTTCTAGGAATTTCTAGGAAATTTCTTTCCCTGCAGCCCCATCTTCAAAGGCTGGAAAGGAGACCGTGTGGCTTCCTTGTCATGTGGTTTGAACCATTTAGGTGGTTTCCTGTGTCCCTGGGGCCAACCAGCCAAACACACCTGCAGCCCCTGCTCCCACCATCACAGGGTCAGGCACTCTGGGAGCTCTTGCTACAGCGCCCCCCACCGAGGGCCCTGAGGTTCTGCCTCTGTGTGCATGGCTGTTCCATCGGGTGGTTTGTACCCCCCACTGGGACGGTCATGGGTGATCACTCGGCAATAAGACATAGGGATTACGCCCTGTCCTGAATATGTTAACCCACAGGAGAATCTGCAAGGAAAACCAGAGATAACAGCAAGACACTTACCAGCGGGCCTGAGTAGGTAGGTTGGATGTGCTGATGCTGAAAGCAGTGAGAATCAACATGATGAATTGTTTGCTGGCCTTTGCCACACAAAGGTGACACTGCTGAGCTCAGGTGGGGCTCTTGTGGTTAGAAATGTCTCCCTAGACACGTTTGTCTGTTTCCTTCTCCCAGCAACCTTTCCTAAGCCTAGGGCACCCCTGTTGTGAGCCCCTTAAGGGTTAGGAGATGGGACAATTCTGATTTCTCAGACCATCTTTCCTTTCTGAGCCCTCAGAGGCGAGAGCACTACTGCCAGAGACCCATCCCACCCACCAGGTGAAGACCAGCATTTCCTAAAGGCCAGAGGCCTTGCGGGGTGCCAAGCACAGGGCTCAAGTGGCTTCTGATGTGGAGGAATCTCCTAGGCAGGAACGATCCCCAGAGGGGTAGCACTGAGCGGAGGAGTGCAGTGTGGTTAGAGGTCCATCGGGGGCAAGGTGGGCAAAGGGTGGCAAAGCGTGGTGGCCCGAGAGGGCCTAGAGCGAGCGGCAAGTCTGCGTGAGCTTTGCTGGGTGCAGTGAGGCCTGGCAGTGAGTTTCGAGGAGCCTGGGAACCACTTTGGCACGTCTCACAGGGGAGATGGAGCTTTACTGGGGCTCTAAAGATTTTTGAGCAGGGAGATGATACGAGGCAATGTGTTTCCAGGAAGGTGACTGCATGGGGGTAGGAGGAAGTGGACCATGGGTGGCCCGGCGAGGAGTCTCGGTGAGGTGGCACAGTGGCCAAAGTGGTGGTTCCAGGGAGGGGGGACACTGATGCACTAGGAAACAGGAAGGGGTTGGAGGGGTCGGGGGTGGTCTTCAGGACCTCAGCTTCTGGAGGCCTGGTGGGTGCAGACAGGGACACCTTGCATATTAGGATGACGGGCTTGCTGCCTGGACCAGACTCTCGTCCCTCTGTTCTTCCTGCTAAAGGCTCAGCCTCCGGGCCCCGTGTTAAACTCACTCTCGGCCTGTGGCCCCTGGATTTCTGCGAGAAGTAGACAGGCCAGGAGAACTGTGGCACAGCGCAGGCAGGCTGGACGTTCTGTTAAAACAAAGCGTTGGGGTAATGGAAGAGTGGAGCCCAGGAGGAGCAGAGGGCAGTGCTGGGCAGGAGTAAGTGGGGGTGGGGTGGACAGCAATAGGTGGGGTGCGTGCTGAATAGCCTGTGGAGGGGTTAGGCCCAGTTAGTAAAGGCGGGGTGGCAGGGTTCCTCCCTCCCCACCCCTGCAGGAGAGGATTGAGAAGGGAGGATCCCCAAAGGGAGAGGCACTTGTGTTTGCTGAGAGTCTATGATAGGCCCAGTAGCCCTATTCATCCTATTTCTCTCATAACATCGCCACACCTTTTGGATTTAAAAATTGTAAGACAGAAAGTAGGTTCAACAAGCCCTGGGGTGGGCCCTGGGGACTATGTTGTGTCATCTGATGCACACTGTAAGGTGGAACCACACGACCCACTGGTCATGGTGGTGCCCATTCTGCAGATGAGAAAATCAAGGCTGGGAAGGTGAAGTTGTTCCTTGAGGATCCCACACATGGTGGGAATGGCAGATTTGGGAATTTGAACTGAATTTCATTTGGATCCCAAGTTTGGGTTCTTTCTGGAATCACCTGATCTTTAACTAAGGGTAGAAAAAGAGAGTGCCAGAGAGTAGTGACTAAGGAGACCAGGACCAAAGCAAATGTTCTGGGGGAGGAACAAAATGACAGGAGGGCGGTCAATCACCAGGCCAGAAGAACCAGAGTATCCCCAACACCAGGGAAGAGATTGGCTGGAACCTTTGGGCCCACCCTACAGGGCCTACGCACTGGCAGGCTGGGCCCCGCATCCCAGCCTCTGGGACAACGTGGGTGACAGATGTTCAGCCTGACCTGAAAGCTGATGTTGAACAGCTGCACAGGGCCGATGACAGAGATGGTGTCCGCAAGATGGAAAGGCATTCGGTGTACATACTGCACGAAGACTGACTTGTTCACCATCACCTGCCAAAGGGGAGTGCCGTTGGGGAGGAGCCCCGGGCAGGGCAGGAGCATACCTTACTGCTTGCTGAGGACTTGGTGTCCACACCTCGCACTGGGCGGGTGTGTGGATCACCATGCACCCAATCCAAATCTCTACTTGGCCCCAGGTGTTGGCTTTTAGCTCTTAGGGCTGTTTGCTCATTTCAGGGGGTCTGTCTTGCAAATCATAGCTCACCTGGATAAGATTTCAATACGGATAAAGTGCTCACAGAGAGCAGAGAAGGGGGACTGTTTGTTTCACACGGAGTGCACGGGAAACACCATGTCACACACGTAAGGCTAGACATGGACACACTCACCCTCATGGTCCCCAAGCCTGGAGACACTACCCTGCCTGCAAAGGTAGTCTGCAGTGGTTTATAAAACCATGCTCTTAGTAGAACCTGGGAAGGACTAGAATAAGTTTTCCAGAGACTAAATGTTACCAGGAATCCCCAGCGGAGGGATGGCTACACACAGGAATGGAAATAACCTCAACTTTAAAGAGATACAAGGGCCAAAAGCAACATCATCACGCCTCTAGTTCTTATATGCACAACAAAAGAAGCAGTGGGAATAGTTGTATGCTAGTGAAAGTGTGTAAAGAGGCTACCTGGCCACGAGTGACACACTTACCAAGCAACAGTCTTATTGCCTGTGCAGTGGTGTGGCTTTGGCCTGATCTCAATGAATGTGCCTATTTAAAGACCTTTCACCAAGCCCAATAAGGCTGGAGGTGGCTTGGAGAGGGCACGAGAAGGGTTGTCCCTGCTCACCTTGAACTCCGATCTCTGCACCAGGAAGCAGAGCTCAAAGGCTTTGCCCTTCTGGAAAGGCATCTCAATCTTCCTCTCCTCTGGCCCCCACTTTCCTCTCTGCTTTGTGTTGCAAACGACATACCCCCCATTTTCAAACCGGGGGTTGAAGTGGAAGACAATGTCGTCGTCATTGAAGCCGATTTGGAAGTTCACAGAGAACCTAAGCAGAGGGAAATCAGATGACTTCAGCAGCGAGCACTGTCACCAGTGGCGGAATGGGGGTGTCTACCTTGCACAAAACCTGCGTGGTGGCAACTTGCTTCTTGGCATCCTTAGTGTCCACCTAACTTGGACCTAATGTATTTTTGTGCACTGACTGTATTTTGCTCCCTCTAGTGAGATTTTCTAAAAACGTAAGCAAAAAATAGGTTGGAAAAAGTGCTAGCACAGCCACAAGAAGCAGATTGAATTTGAAGATGGACGCTGTGAAGTCTGCCCTCAGGAGAGACAGCCATCAGCGCCATGGGAGCGCTCATTAGAGGTCAAAAAGATTGCAAGCCAGCCTCTACCTGCTCAGTGGGAAAATAAAAGAATAAACATAAAATCATGTGAAACGGGCGACAGTCTACCTACAATGACAGTGTCTGCCTGCAGGGAGAAGCAAAAATAAATATTAGCTCGCCAGGCAACTCTGTGTAGTAGTTGGCAAAGGTCAACCGTGTTACCAGGCAACTCTCATAGTGTGCAAAGTTCAGCCCTGTCGCACTGCGAGGCCTCTGAAATACCTGCTTTTCCTCCTCAGATTGTGAGCAGGCTGGGAACGGGGGTTGGCTTGGCTCGGTGGTTACTAATGGATGAGTCTGGGGGAAAATCGGTGCCATGTTTATACCTGTTTATTGTGGAGTGAAGAATGGTCCCCTGGACAGTGATCTGAAGTCCCTCGTGGAGACCTCCTTGGATCATCCCAGAAAAAGGAACGGCCTTCAGGGAGAGGATGTGGGAATGTCAGTTGGTTGGCATTTGCCTGTTCCTGCTCCTGTGTCCCAGTTCTGGATCCTTCCCTCAGGCCCCCCACAGGTAGTATCTCTCTCCATCCTGGACCCCATCTGCGGCCTCTCTTGTAGGTCTCTTTCTGGGCCTTCTTGAAGGTGTCATCAAATGGGTTACACTGGGTGGGCACTGCTTTAAAGTCAGGCCAGCTGAGTTGGAATCCCACCTCGGCTCTGGACCAGGGGCTCGGGAAAGCTTGCCTACTGTCTTTTTGCTCCAGTTTTCTCACCTCTGAGGTAGGGATAGCCTCCCTGCTAAACGGGCTTGTTCAATAATTGACAAAAAGTTTGTGGAAGAGGCTGGCACATAATAGACACCTCTCTGCTGCCTGCATCCCTTCCTGGTCTTGTTCTTTCTAAGCAAAATTTCCAAACTGATCACTTCCCCAGCTCCAAAGCTTAACCTCTGCAATGCCTTTTAAACAGGGAGCCTCTGCAACTAGCATTAAAGTCCAATTGTGTCTCCTAGGCGATTTTGACACTTTGCTTGGGGTTGTTTATGTCTTCTCTCACATGCCCTTTGGGTGGTTTGCTGCACAAATTAAATGCTGGGCTGGGGATTGTAGCTCTGTGGTAGAGCACTTGTCTAATGTGTTTGATTCCCAGTACCACACCGAAGAAATAATAAATGGAAAAATGGCTCTGGGAGCCAGGCAGGTGACATTTTTGGTGAGATGGCCAGGTAAGACACACCAGGGAGCAGTGGGCAATTATAAAATGCTCATCAGAACCTTTTGTGCTGTCACAAGAGGCCACGCTTCTAACACACACACTGGTGGGCGGCCTGCAGCCTTTCCTGATGCACACATGCATTGAGTGTAAGAACGGAAAGCAGGGTGCCATGGGGTTAGTGCTGTAGGTGCAGAGACAGCATTGCTGAAGAAATCTGGGGATCGAGGAAGAATGCATGAGGACAGATCAAGGGGCTGGGATTGGATAGGTTAATCTCCGATCAAAAGCAAAAAGTCTAAAAGTCCACCAATCGGGAAAAGCTAACATAATAAATTCTTCTATTTCTATACAAAAGAGGCAGGGTAGCCTTTAAAGGCAAAGCAACTAGGTTGGAGTGTGGCTTGGGAGAGCACTTGCCTGGCACGTGTGAGATCCTGGCGTCTGTCCTCAGTCTAGCAGAAAAGCGAGAGAGGAAAAAGGCACACAGGATATTGAGATGGTGTAAGGCTATTTGTGTAAAAAAAATTGGTGGAAGAGGCTGGACACATGCACCTGCTCACTTACAGATTAACTCTCTGTAGAGGAATTAATCAGAACCTGAAATAGTGGTGGCCTGTGAGTACCAGGCTGGAGGCTGAATGACATGCCTACCCGTGGCTGGAACAGTTCATTCTCCTCTCTGAAACTGTGAGTGTGTCAATGGTGCAAGGATCTTTGCTGGTGTGGTTAATGGTTTGGAGCTGAGGAAATGAGTCACCACCACACTGAGGCCCAGCCGCATCCTGTGTACTCTCAATGACCTTTGTTAGGAGGCGTGAGAAGATCAGGGTCACAAGTAGGAGGTGTGAAAATGGAAGAAGCTGCTCTTTTAAAATTTCTTATTGTTTTTTTTTTTGTGGTTGAGGATCACGTCCTGGGCCTGGCCCACGCCAAGCAGGCATTCTGTCATGAGCTGCACACCCAGCCCCAAGAGCCTGCTGGATTTAGGGACGAGGGAGGAGATAGGAACCAGGACTTGCAGGATCTTCAAGAAGGTAGAAAGGCAAGGAAAGGGATTTTTTGACATCTTCTATTTTCCTAATCGTGTAAAGGATCAAATCCAGGGACTTCTAGGCGTCTGCTTTACCACTGAGCTGCACTCAACCTTTGAATACTTGGATTTGAGACTTCTGATCTTCAGAACTATAAGATAACAGACTTACTGTTTGAAGCCTCGCTGAAAGGCTGCGACACATTTGGGGGTGTGCAGGCCAGTGAGGGATCTCAGTTTGTCCTGGTTATGGTCCCACAGGAATTGGCTCCTGTGACAGCTCTCTGTGCTAGCAGTTCTGATGTTGGACACATCCCAGTCTCCTCTGGTCAGTGACACAATAACATTTCCCCGAGAGTACTCAAGAAAGCCCCTGGCTGGAGCTCAGTACTGCAGCTATTTTTATCAGCACGAACCAACTCCTCACTGGCTCAGATCTTGTTCCCTGCTCATGAGTGTGCCTCGAGGGTGGGTCATTTTTCTTCCCTTCCTGTCTGGCGGTTCAGTAAGCCGAACTGAACCTTCAGGCCAGAGTGCAGAAGACTTCTGCTGAGCCAGAGTCACTGGAGGGCACCTCATCCAGGCACTGGTGGTGGGGACCTCAGCCTGGCTGGCCAAGGTGCCCACAGTGCATGGCTTTTAGTCAAAGGGCCCTGCCACCCTGAAGGTTCTGAAGCCCTGATGGTGGACAACCTTTTATGCCCGTGTTATCTATCACCTTTATCCTAATAACAATTTTTGCCATTGTCACAGCCACTTTTTCAGAAGAGGAAACGGAACCATAGAAAGGCTCATAACTTGCCCAAAGCCACACAGCTGCTCAGGGACAGAGCTGGCATTTGAATCCCTGAAGTCGTGCTTTCAATCCCACAAGGCTGCCTCATGATACTGTACAGGACACTCTTATTTCTGGCCTACCCAGGTAGCAGTGGAAGCCATGTGCCGAAGCCAGGCACTCTTTGTGGGTGTAATTCCTCAGCATTTCTTCAGTCAAAGACCTCCAGCCCAGGTGACATTTGGGAGATTGTGTGACTCTGGCTACCCAAGACCAGTGGGTCACCCAGCAAGGCCTTTGCACCTTCCTCTGCAGGGAGAGCCCTGCTCCCAGCCTCATTTTGGAGACAGCATCTCTGCAGACAGCCAGGGCACACCTTTGCCTCATGAACTCCAACTCACCCTTCAGAGCATACATACCTCCTCAGAGACCTTCTTTGCTGCCTCCCAATTCCTCATAATGCTCAACATTCCCAGAGCACAGACAGCGTGCCAGATACTATTCAGACATGCTAGATATGCTACCTCATGGGATCCCTAGCCTGGCTTCCGGGATAGGCTCAAGGATTATGCCCGTCTTATAGATGTGGAAACTGACGCCCAAAGAAGGGAAGGTAACCTGCCTACAGCCTATCAACTAGTGAATGGCTGAACCCTGGAGGCTATCTCCAGGGAAAAGGCCACAAATGCTATGCATGTGGGTTCTTTTCTTCCCAAAGACTGCTTACTCATGTCCTCGTCATACAAAAGCCCCCCCCGGCACACACACTGAGGATGGAGCAGGCACCCAGAGCCAGCGCAGTTAACGAATGTCAGACATGCAAACTGCAGTGATTAACATGTCTCCATCCAGGAGGTTTTCATGGAGGTGACTACCATGAAACAAAAGCTGCGTTCAGATGAGCGCCTCTGACGTTTCCAACCCTCTCTGGGCTCTCTTTGGGCTCCCCGTATCCCCACCAGCCCCTGCCACCCAATTGTTTCCTCAGAGGCCCACAGCAGTTTCCCCTGGCTGAGCTGCCAGTGCAAGTCAGGCCAGCTCCGAACTCACCGGACTTATGTAGGGTGGTTGATGATAAGAGAAAGCCATCTTGCCACAGCTTCTGTGGCCACTGCTGCCTTTAATCGAACTGAACTCTCTCTGCACAGAGCTGGGTTTTTCCAGGAAACTGAAACTAAATCAATTTGGCAGCTATTCAACAAGGAGGAGCCAGGGGGAAGGAAGTGGACCTGGGGAGAGAGGAATATATAAAAGAATTGAGGTGAAGACTGTGGGTGGTGATCGGGGAACCGGAAATGAGCATACCCAGCTCTGTGATCTTTCTCTTCGTTTTTCCCCTTTGTAGCAGCTAGAGACCGAATCCTATTGGGTCCATGAAGATGCAAAGTGAGATGGCAGTGAGGCTGTAGACTGCACTGCCCAGAGTGTGTGCTGGGCTTCCTAAGCACTGTCCATGCCCCAGTGCAGGGTGCCCAGCCTAGGCAGGGACAGCGCGGGGAGGGCTGCTTCCACCCTCCTATACACAGAAAAATGGGTCCCAGAGAGCACAAGGGAGATGGCCAAGGTCACACAGCTTGGATGACTTGACAAGACTTTGGCTCTCCAGAAAGTGTTTCTTCCTTTTAGTATATCTATTCCTCATTCCAAAACCTGATCACATAGGGAGAACAGTTTTGCAAGAAGCATACTAAACTGGAGATTTTTATTCTGGAGTAGAATGTTCTCCAGGAACTTACAATCCTCGCTCCATGAATTTATCTCTTCCCTTTTTCCTGGGCTTCAGCGTGGGGAGAGAAGTTGTGGGAACCATTCTCCAGGGAGGTAATGGGAAACAACATTAGAAATAGACTTTAGTTGACTTTAGCACAAAGGGAAGGAAAACCATTCTCTTTCACAGAAAGAGCAGGATAGACCTCAGACAATAAGGTTACCTGAGGTCAGTCAGGTCCCTGCAGTGATTGAGGGGGAGGCCAGATCAGCAAGCTACTGGGAGCTGTTAAGTATTGCTATTATCTTGAGATAATAGAAGATATGGTATTGCAAACCTGGTTCCCAGTACAGAGGTGCTAAGGAATGTAGTTAATGTAGATGATCAGAGGGCACCAAGCCTCAAGATGGACCTGCACTGCCACTTGCATCCTTCCCTGCCCTTCCACCTTTGGACCTTCCTCATAACTGATGCAGCAGAAAGGCTGTGGCCAGGTACTGGTGTCTTGGTATTACTCTTCACAGACTTCAAATAGTGAGAAATCAAATTGTGTTATTTATGTGTGACAGAAAATGACTCCCCAAGTCAGTGTACTTCAGTCTGTTAGTTGCCCAGGTATCTGTTCCTATTGCAGTTCCTGTTACTTCTGTCTCCTAGAAACAGCAGTCACTTGTGATGCACAGTTGGTACTATGATGCATATTTTAAGAACCAGTCAAAGACAGCTAAGTACTCTACCTGTGTACTTCCCTTTTCAGTCTCATAAACTCTCCCTCCCTGAGCCTTTGGGATCTGCTATTTTGGGAATGATCCTGACCAGTGCCCATTGATGTAAACAAATCTGCCTCCAAATCTTGGGTGTTGTTTCAGTGTTTCTCTTTGGCATTGTATTTGGTGCACTGGCTGGGAAGACCAACCATGCTGACCTCATTGGTCACAGTCATGGCCCTTGCAGATGGAGCGAGGACCTCTTCAGGTCCCAGTGGGAAGGTGCACCCTTGAGATTTCTCAAATCCCCTCACCCTTCTCAAATCCTATCACCCTGCTTGAACGGCTCAGATCAGCCCCCAAAGGAACAGACACAGTCTGTCTCTCTACCTGTGTCCCTGCCTGACTTCAGCAAGACCCGCAGGAGCACCCCAGTTAGTCTGTCAGTCAGTCCTTCTTGGCTTGAGCAGAAGGGAAGTCTGATGAACTTTTGTTAGTCAGGACCACCTTCGTGGAATGGGGGTTGGAATATTTAACCTCTGAGTGCCTGTTGAATGAATGTATGAGTGAGTGGAACAGACTGCATAAGCAATAGGCTGCCAGTCTGTGCACCAAACCTGGGAAGCACTGGTTGCGGTGGCTGACTGGGCCCTCACCTGTGGTTCTATGGTGATTGACATGGCATAATGGAGGCCTCACATCCTCCTTAGCTAAGTCACACCTAAGTCATATGTCATGTCCTACCTGTTGGTTCATTCCCGTGCCCATTCCTCAACAGAGTTGCAATCCCAGAGGTCTTATAGCTAACCAGTTATAGCAAATGAACATTACCCATATAGCCTCTTCTCACAAGTTTAAATATATTCATGCCTTTATAGATACCTTTGTAAGACCGGTGTCGCAAAGGAGACTCCAAGGGCCCCGCTCTCATGTAAGAACAAAGGGGTTTTTATTATTCCGTGCACACGGGGTCCTCCAAACAGGTGGAAATGGAGAAGCCCGAATTGGGGCAAGGCTGGTGTTTTTAAGGGGGAAAAAACTGCAATGTAAGCGTTTATTACAGAAGCCAATCACAGCAGTTAGAGCAGGACAGTCAGCAGTTTACCTATTTGTGGTTGGTCAGCTCATAAGGGATGACCAGCGGGTCAGAGTTAATTAACTGTCTTTGTTCTGCACAACTTATCTTTAAGACACCTGGCTTCTGTAGACTCGAGTCTGACATATTTTACAACCCTGATTAGCGTAATGGCAGTCTCTATCTCTGAGTTCGCTGGCACAGCACATCCCGAGAACATCACAGCCACAGATGGTTTTTTTTTTTTTTTTTTTATCTTCTTGCAGGGCTGAGTTAGGACTGAGTCACGAGGCCCAGTGCTGTTTCTAGCTGAGAAACAGCATCTTGTTTTTAACCTTTAAATTTCTGGTTCTTCACCTTCTTCCGTATGATCTGTTCTGCCTGTAATTCAGGCAAAGTCAACATGTCATACAGCATTGCTTTGCTAACTTAAGAGTGTCACAAACAATAAACCAATAAAATCTGATATTGGTCTTGCCTATATTAGTAAACACTTTCAGAGTTTTCTTAATAACTGGAATATAAAGCATGTTACAGGGATCCTCAGGGTTATAATTGAATACACTCATCTTACACTAAAATGTCAGCCAGCTAAACCAAAGAAAGGAGGAACACAAGTTCATATGTTTTAACTTTTCTGAGTCCTCTTTTGTGTGACCTACAAATGGATGTTTGGAATGGTCCAACATCACTTTTAAATTGGGGATGAGGACATTCTTGTGTTTCCACAGATAATCAAGAGACATTATGACCATCAGAGCTGTTCCATGGCCAGAATTCAACCCATTTGTGCAAAACTTGAATCTCTCTGCTGAGACCTCAGGCAATGAACCTGACAGTGCATTGTCCATTGTTTTGGGAAGGCCTGCAGTAGACCATTCATGGAGCTTCCTCCTAGTTAACAGTCAGGGTTTGGTTCAATTACATGAAAATCTTTTCCTTGCAATGCTTGCTCTCCTAGCAGCTACAGTATGTACTCTTGTGGTTGAGGGAGAAGAGTATTGGACCTACATTGCTAATCCACTCTTGCTTAGACCCCTTACATGGATGGATACTAAGCCTCCAGAGATGTTCTGTAGAGAGCAATAACCCTACATATACCATTCTCCCTGGTCCACAAATTTTAACGCATTTACAAGAACAGGTTAAGTTTAGTATTACCTTCAATCTTGTATACCCACCTTTATGTGTAACCCATCTACAGCAAAATTCCAACCATTGTATGTCAGCTGTGAATCAGACTTGGAAAGTACAACTGTCTAAATGTCAATTTGGCTCATTAATCTTAAGTTCTACTCCCTCAGATGGTAACCTTGTAAGAGATTTTAAATCTGACATTCCTATTTGCATTCCAGAAGCTTATGCCCCTCATTTTGAGAAAGGTGATTTGGGCCTTTGGGAGTCTTGCAGGGACCTGTATAATAGATGGGCTATATGAAAATTTAATTATTCTTTTGTAGATTGGTTCTCCAGAGGATTCTCTTGACTGTACCATGACCTCAGAGGCCTTGTCCAATGTTTTGTGGTCAGGTAGAGGCTTCAATCCTCCCATCCCCAGACTCATTATCAGTGACATTATACAGAACTGATACAACAATTTATGGAAATCAGTTCTACCTTTTTTATGCTGGATGGCTGCAGACTGGACACCTGCAACCAGTAAGTGGAGAAAAAGTAACAGTAATATTCCAAGGTCTTAGGTATATAAACGTAAATTCATGTGTATATGATCCTCATGTACTGTTAATAAGGAAGATAGAGTGGCAAAAAATATATTCTCATGTACTAACTGTTATCTGACCCATTGAATCTTGCCTAAATACCTTTCTAATGACTCCACAGTAGTGATCATGGGCAGTATGCCTGCGGTTTGCCTTCCCCAATCTGACAGAGCTTTGGTGTCATTCACCTACTTCCTTTTTGGTAGATATCTTAAGAGATTTGATAGTGAGAACAAGAGAGTGATTGGATTAATTATAGCAAGGATAATCTCACTAGTGCTTTTGACGGCCAGCACAGCTATTGGCCCTGTGGCATTCTCTCACTCAGTACAGACAATGGGACAAGAATTGCTGCTGAAAGCTGAAATTCAGCAAGAAATTGATATAAAATTGCCAACCTAAGTAAGTATCTTAAAGGTGTACATCCCTTTGATAGGGGATCAAATTGAAAGTTAGCAATTGCAACAAGGATTAAAATGTCAGTAAATATGATTTGCTTTTGTATCACTCCTTTACCATATGATAAAATTCTGCATCTTTGAGGAATTATCAAAAGACATACATGAAAGAGTTTTGCCCTAGAATAAATTACAGGACATTATAGAGGTGGTAGGTCAAACTGGGGATGTTTACCTGAGGCACTTCCTCCTTCCCCTATTTATTACAACTTCCTTGTTCCTTTCCCAGTGCACGCAAAGAAAATTTCAATCAGCTCCTCATGCTTCAGCAATGACTATCCTAAGCACCACTTCCGGTCAAAGGTTACATGTACTCCAAACTCCCATATCCAGGCAGAGGAGAAAGCCAGACCACTGTTGGTTGTGGGCTCCTCTCCACATCCTTGGAATAAAGGCCACTTTTACTTTTTCTATATTGTACTCCTTTATTGCACCAAAAAACTCTTAACAGTATATAAGGAGTAATCCATCAAAATATTACTATGGGTACAGATACTTTTCACAGAAAAGTGCTGTCCATGTTACAACAGCCACATTTGATGCTCTGATT